CCCCAAAACCCCAAAACCCCAAAACCCCTTTTCCTCCCCTCAAAATTGACTGAAAAATAATGTCATGATTACTTAAAGTACAAATTTCAAGTTTCCTTGCCCAATCTGCACAATAGCAGTGCCCATACTTATTCTTTAAAATCCTTCAACTGCTCTATAAACAGCATTAGACAAATGGCTGCAGGAAGAAACGGAAATTGGGCACAGTGACTTACTTGAAGTATGTGAGCGAGGGAAAAGGTCATAGCGAGAAGGAGGTACGGAAGATCTTGACTTGGTCACTAACTTTTGGAGTGCTTCTAGGAATCTTTCAGGAGCTATAAGGGGTTACTAGAGGTTAGTGATACCGTTTTGGTTTAGTTTGGATTGCACGATTTGCTCAAGATATGCAAGTTGGAAGTGCATAAGTTGGAATTTGCTTCCAACGAGAGGGATAATTGTAGTGATTAACTTGTCCTCCTAAATCTTAGTGAAATAGTACTTACTATAGCTTTGTCTGAATTCATTCCTGATTTTTCAGTCTCACTTTCATCTTCGCTTTCACCATCCCCTTCAGATTCTTTATTAGCTTCAATATCTTCTTCATTATGACTCTCTTCATCACTTTGCTCATCTTCACTCTTTCTTGACTTAGCCTTTCTCATTCCAATTCTACTTTTCTTTTCTTTGTCATCGGCCTTCTTATCTCTCTTCTTTCTTTTATTCTTCTTATCTTTAGACAAGCTTTCCTGTGGCTTCTCCATCATCTGCTGAGATTGCTGCTGATCCTCTCCTTCATCTATTGAAATTAACCATAATTTAGTAAGCTCAACTTACTTTTCTCAGAAATTTCTTTGCCTCCTGCCTTGCCCTTCTCTTCTTCAGAAGCATCTGTGTTTGAAATCTCTTGGTCACCTTCTTGTATCTTCTGAAGTTTCTTTGGAGTTTTAGTGCTAGCTTTATTCCTCTTCTTTTTGGTTTTCTTTACACTCTTCTTGCTTTCATTTGACTCAAGGGACTTTCTGGACTCTTCGTGATCTTTTTGGCTGCTTTCCTTCTTGCTTTGCAACATTAAAGACTCAGGCTCTTTCTCAGACAATTCAGGAAGCTTTGAGGCACGCTTTGGTTGCCTTTTTGGAGTAATTTCTGCATCCTCATTTTGAGGCTCTTTTGTAATCTTCTCGTTGCTCTCAGAAAGCTCTTTTGAAGAAGAACATGCTTTAGATTTTTTCTGATTACCGGAGTTCTTATTTTTCTCTTCCTCTTCCTCTTCATCTTCTTCCTTATTCTTGTTGATAACATCAGTTTTTGGTCTATTCTTTCTTGATGCTAAAAAATTTAATACAGATCGTAGTCTATCTGGCGATATTTTCCGCAACAAATAGAGCGATGCTTCAAAATTTGGGGTTAAAGTATTCTGTTTAATTTTGTCCTCTTTTTCAGCTTTACTACTAGACTCACCTTCAGATTCATCTCCTGTTTTACCTTCGGCTTTATTTTTCGATTTTGGATTCTGCTTCTCCTTTGGATTCTGCTAATCTTTTGGTTACTGCTTCTCCTTCGGTTTCTGCTTCTCCTTCGGCTACAGCATCACCTTCGGCTTCAGCTTCGGCTTCAGCATCACCTTCGGCTTCAGCATCACCTTCTCCTTCGGCTTCACTGTTATTGTCTTCTTTGTGCTCTTCTTCTTTTATAGAACTAGACTTTTCATTTTGAGAATTAGAAGAGGCTTCCTTGGGCAAATCAGTTGGAACTGAAATTGATCCTTCATCTTTCTTAGTTTGTATCTCCTCTTTAGTAGCTTTGGGTGTTTTTGGAGAAGAATCAGAACTAATCATAAGAAGTCTCTCCGCTTTTCCTTGAGTTATTATCGAATCCCCCCTCTCATCAGGATCATAGTCTGAAAGGTATGAATTCTCTTCTTCATTAGCTTTCGTTTCCTCTGCACGATATTCTATTGGCATTGGGTCTGAATGCTCCAGAGTATCCACATCAGCAATAGGATCATTCTGATTTTCACTCTTATCTTTCTCGTCTAAAAATCAAGTTAGGAAACTCCAAAGAAACCCTACCATCTATACTCTTGTTTTCCTCAATCTGATGATCATCATGATCAGAAGATTTCTCTTTTCTTCCTATAATACTAATCAGAAATCACCTCCATATTTTGCTTACTTTGTTTCTTCTCTTGACTTCTTTTCTTCTTGCTCATTTTTGGAACTATTACTGATTTCTACTACCTAATTTAAGATGGGGTTTTGGGGTTTTGGGGTTTTGGGGTTTTGGGG